ACACACACATACGACACCACCACCACCCCCAAGACCCCCAGACAATATTGTAACCAGAATAAATTCATCAGCAGAGAGTACACCATCAGTGTAAAACAAGCAGACCAGGAACAATGGTATACTGCGACAGAACACTTGTACAGAGCATGCATTCTACACACGCAGTATAAAGTTCTTACAATGTAACAAAACACACAAACTCGAATCAACTGTAGCAACAAATGTAACACAATACAAGTATAATAGTACAACGTGAGTGGATAAGGGCAGACAGCAGAGGATAAACATCCCCACCACGATTGCCAGTGTCTTGGCTGCTTTCTTCTCTCTGGAGAATTTGATCAGCCTGACAGACAGTGAACTCCTGAAAGTGTGCCCCTTGTTCCTGGAGTTGGCACGGGGCTCCCCTAGACTTCTGCAGTGAATCCTGAGGACAACCTCCATGGACTTGCTCCTTTCTTTCTTGACGCCAGCCTCCAGGCTTTTGGTGGTCCTCCTGGCCACAATGTAGACTTGAAAGTACATGATGAGGATGACTAGCAGCGGCAGGTAGAAGGATAAGAGGGAAGAGAAGAGGGCATATCCAGGTTCTTGAGTGATGTAGCACTGGCTTTCATCTGCTGGTGGAGGTTCCTTCCACCCCAACAGAGGTCCAATGGAGATGACCATGGAGGACACCCAGAGGAGGATGATGATGACCACAGCCTTCTTCTCAGTCATTATAGTTGGGTACCTGAGGGAATGTTTCACCCCTACATACCTGTCTATGGATATAATACACAAACTCATGATGGAGGCAGTGCAGCAGAGGACATCCACAGCAGCCCAGATGTCACAGAAGATCCGACCAAAGACCCAAGAGCCCAGCACCTCCAGGGTGGCAGAGAAGGGCAGCACGGTGGTGCTTAGCAGTAGGTCAGCTATGGCAAGGTTGATGATGAAATAGTTGGTGACTGTTTGCAGCTGCCTGTTGCATGCCACCGACAAGATCACTAGGATGTTCCCAACAATGGCAAAGAGGATGAAAACTGCCAGGACAATGCCCACACTCAGAGCCTGCAGGTCCAAAGCCGCTGCCAGGGAGGTGCCATTATCAGTCCCATTCCCACCTGGCAGGTAAGCACTTGATTGGTTCCACAGGCTCTCATTGCTGGGCTCTGACCAAGTCATGTTAATCCAATCTCATCTCCACATAAAAAGAAGATCCAGATCTCATGGCTGGAAGTTGAAACATCTTATCTCCATGGGTCGCAGTATCTCACCCCCTGCACCAAATCCCAGGTTTGGATTCACTCCTTGCTACCACATCCTCCAAAAAATGAGAGCTTCTCCATGAAGGTGGCAGAAGAAGCAGCTCCAAAACTTTTCTCAGCGCCTTGCACCTCCTCCCATGAGTGTCATTGTGCCTAAAGGATGCTTCCCTGAGTCAACCGCAGCACACAGCAATTGTAGCTACTCCCCTTTAGATTAATGAGGTTTCAGTTCCCCCCCCTCCAGTGTGAAAGAGAGCAAAGCAACATGGCACAAAGTGGTGCTGACTCCACTCTCCATGACAGTCCTGTGAAGTGCATGAGCTCAGCCAGAGTTGCTTGCAAGAAAGAAAGAGAGAAAAAAAAAAAAGCAGCTGAATGGATAAATGAAGCCAACCCTGGCTGTGCTTCATTCACTTTGGCAGGTCCCCTCCCCGCCTCCTTTCATTGCTACTCTGTGATAAGGCGCCGGAATGCTACTGCGTTTTCCTCCATGGCCACAAGAGGGCAGCAGGTGGTTCCGTGCTTGTCTCCACTATAGTACACACACAGATCAAAGCTCCTTTGTGTTGTTCCTTGTGTGCCAATGTGCATCTTCCTTCTCAGGAAAGAGGAAAACATCTGATGCTGTGTAACCTGCCTACATAGTTGTTTTCTTATTGTTCAAGCAAATATTGCAGTTAATGATTTCCTGGAAGAGCCATGTTTTCAAGGTAATTAATTAGGGTTTGCTTTCAGAGATTCTGCATCTTCAGCCAGCCCAGGGTTGCTCGTTTTATGTCCATTGCTTTCTTGGTTGTGAATGCCTAAAGCTGTGAATACCAATTTACTGGGGAACTACAAGAGCCAGCATGCCTTGTTTGCTTTACACTGAAATTATATAACCCAGCATGGTACTTGGGACAAGTGACAGCAGGGGATCAGTGGTCTGTAGAACTGCAAGAGCCAGCATGCCATGATTGCTTTACACTGAAATTATATAACCCAGCATGGTACTTGGGACAAGTGACAGCAGGGGATTAGTGGTCTGTAGAACTACAATAGCCAGCATGCCATGATTGCTTTACGCTGAAATTGTATAATCCAGCATGATCCCTGGCACAAGTGACAGCAGTGGTCTGTAGAACTGCAAAGGCCAGCATGCCTTGTTTGGTTTACACTGAAATTATATAATCCAGCATGATCCCTGGGACAAGTGACAGCAGGGGATCAGAGGTCTGTAGAACTGCAAGACCCAGCATGCACTGAGGTACCTGGGAGAAGTGGTGGCATGTAATAAGCACTCTGCAGAACTATAAAAGCCAGTATGACATAGGTTATATGGAAGAAGTTGTGGCATGTAATAAGCACTCTAGAACTGCGTAAGCCAGCATGCCTTGTTTGCTTTACACTGAAAGTGTATAATCTCGCATGGTCCCTGGAACAAGTGACAGCTGGGGATTAGTGGTCTGTAGGACTACAAGAGCCAGCATGTCCCTGGGGTAACTGGTAGAGGGGGCAGCATGTGATAAGCACCCTGCAGAACTACAAGAGCCATTATATACTGGGGTGCCTGGTACAGGTTACAGGACTGCATGTCCCGGGCATCAGAAGATTCCACACCCCTGCCGCCCCGAGGCCGGGCCTCGGTGACCTTGTGGCAAATCTGGCCCTGATTCCATTGTTTTGTTGAAATTGCAAAGCAATCAATTGGTTCCAATCCCAAAGTAATGGGATTGAAATTATTCTGATCAAACCTAAAAAAAAAATTCTGATCGCCTTCATCTAAGTTATTTTTATTTTTGATTTGATCTTTCAATAAATTGCATTGAAGCTGTCAATGTGTTGCCCAACATCTACTTCACTATCCACCGAATTCTGATGGTCAGTCAAACCTGTAGATGGTAGATTGCTTGGTTTCCGGTGATTCCTTGCCATGTTATGTGTGATTCCAGGAGGATGGAAAGTGGTTGAATTTGAATGAGCTCCTATTCACACCTGTGTGCCGGGGGAATGTACGTGAAATTGCACATGTTCCTGCAGCGCACAATGACATTTATTTATTTGTTTTAAACTGTAATCATTTATTAGATTTGTAAACAGAACACAATGAAATGCAATATGAGGTACCAGCCGCATACAGTGCTGCATAACCCTACGCCACAAAAACAATAGGGGGCAGATGTAAATGATAGAAGTACAGAACGTAACATCGCATGTGGTCCCAGGGAAGGAACATGTGTCTGCACAAGATGTCCGGCCACCTTTTCTTCATGCGAAACCCGATCACTCTAGCGACACACTGACATTTTTTGGGGGAAATGAGTCATGACTTATTCATATGTAAATATAACATTTGAGACTATTTTCAGTGGGGGGCCAGTAGCCCCTAAGGTAGTTTTTGTTGCCCCTGTCTGCCTCACATCTTGTGTCTGGGTTTCTGCTGCCATGAAACCCGTACACAGCATTCCAAACCCGGACTATCCGGATGAATCCTGGACAGGTGGCAACCCTAAATACATGCTTTTGTGTGGTATTAAACTAAGCTGAATTGGGGAACCCAAAGCCACTTCCACTTTGCATTGAAGGCTCTCTGGGAATCTCTTGGATTCAAACTCATGACCTGGCATTTGTAAGGCCCTGTTCACACCAGGGAGTTTTGCCACACGTTTTTTTTTTTTCCTGCTGAGTCATTCTGAATTATGAAAGCTAGTCGGATGACCAGCAAAACGTCTTAAAAATACAGCAAGTCCGGTTGCCTTGATTTTATTTTTTACAGATAATAATCCTCCCAGATTATTATTATTATCATTCAGGGTTTATATAACACCAACAGTTTGCGCCTTCCATAGACTTCAATGGAACTTAGACTTCAGGGCGTTCTTGCCTCTTTTTTTTTTAGAGCATTTTTGCAGCTGACACTGCTTTTCATTGGACAACTGAAAACACGCCTTAAAAAGCTATTACATATAAACAGAAAATGCATATAAACCGCGCTGAAATGTGCATAAAAAAGAGCAAAAATGCGTGAAAAGCACGCTGAAACGCTGTCATCTTGTGGTGTGAACAGGGACTAAAAGCTGTGACCATCCATACTGCGCCACCAGCTGAGCTAATGCCATTTATTTTGAATGGCATTGCGCAAGGCTGCCACCTTGTGGCCGCCTTACAAACTGTAGTGCCAATCATTTTTTAACGGCACCTTAAACATTCCTGCCAATGCATAAGCGGAGTTATAAAAAAGCACTTCTTTGGTGTGATTGTCACATTTTGGGCAGCCCGTTGAAATGAATAAGCTGCCTAAATGCACTGCACCTTCACACATGGAAAGCACGTGTACACGCACCTGCTGCTATATAGGTGTGAGCCAGGGCTTAAAATTGCCAAGTGTAGGGCCAGCCTAATTCTTCTCCACTCTGTCAATGCATACAGCATTTTTCTATATTCTGCAGACATTCGTTGCTTCTGCCAAAGCTATCGGGGTGAAAAGGCTAATACCAATGCTGATAGTGTAAGCTTTTCATCTGCTCATGCCTTAAAGCCTAGCTGTGCTTCTGTCATATTATAAAAGCTCTGTAAAGCTGCAAAAATGTTTAAATTCAGATTCAAAAACACAGTGCTCCCCTTTCTGAAGCGACCGTCTCAGCCCATCAGGTATGCAGGCTGGTATCCCCACTGTAAAGGTCCAGAGAGAAGATATGCCCACCTTCTATATGCTGCATATTAATACCCCGGCTCACATAGAGCAAAGTGCTGAAAGCTTGCATTGCGTCATGTCTTTTTCCTTAGATCCATCATCTGTAATATGCTGTGGAAAGGCGGCATGCACGAATGAGCAAATCCAAACGTTTTCCATGTGCATTTTTTTTTGATTTTTTTTTTTTTGGTCAGAGGCAACGGTAAACTTCTCCTCTAAATATATTATATCACTTTATAACAAATGAAGCAACAGTAAAAAAAAATGCAGACATCCGTTTTCATTATTCAGCTGCCAGATGAAATCAGGCTTGCAGGGTAACATTAGCTATGTACGTTTATGGATGGGATTTGCACATTCAAAGGCATGGCTAAAGGGAGGAAGATGCCTAGGGTGGACATCACCATTGTGGTGATGGTCACTATTAACGCACTCATAGCCTTCTGTCCTGAGGGTCCTGGTGTGGGCATCGGGCAAGGACCACTGAGCTGTGTGCACAAAGGCAGCTGGGGTGGCTTCTAACCTCTTATTGGAACAGCCATCTGCAATGTATGAGGAGACACCAGGCATCGGTGGGGGAGCACTTAAGATTTATGGGGAATATTGATGGGGGTACAAATGTATGGGAAGAAACGCCATGTAGGCTGTACAGTGGCCCATGATATATATAGATTGCAGTAAGGCGTGAAAACCAGACAGTCTCCGAGTTGACCTATGAACTTTGGTAACCTTGGAATACATTTCTCAGAGCTAAGGGTAATACATGTTGGTCTGTTTTCTCTATTTTGTCTCTCCCACTGCAGTAATTGGGTTAATAAACAGCGCCTAACCTCTTATCCCACCCAGAGAAATCTCTACAATCAGTCTTAGCAGCATCATTATTATATCTGTTGTTATTTTTCTTTGCATAGTGCTATCTTATTCCACAGAGGTTTTTTGGAGGACACACAACCATTCACATTAACCTTTAACCCTAAAGAGTTTACAATGTATTGTCCCTGCCAGATACACAGTTACAAACAGCAGATAAATAAACAGAGAAAGGACAAATGTCCATCAGACGGAAGCTTCCAGCAGTCGTGGTCCAAGGGCAAAAAATAACCTCCAGGAGGAATGTATTCAATTTAGCCTCATAATAGGAAAACAAAATCCTTCCTGACGTTACAAGAACAACACGATCAGGGCCTTGGTTAATAATTTTGTCATATTATGCTTTACTATTTTGTTATATCTTTGACTGTTGTGATTTTTGGGAATATTAGCACACATGGTGAGCGCTTTAAGGACACAGTCCGCTCGCCACAATATCTTCTGTTTAAGCC